GGACCGTTTTAATATTTCTCAACCGGTTCCACCCCTGTGATAGACTCAGGATTATGAGTAGAGATCCAAAAACCATTGATCACTATGTTTCGGTCTTATTCATCTGTTGTCTGTTGCGGATATGACTTGAGAAAAGAGATTTGGAGAGTCTTTTGAAGGAGCTCAGCAGAAACTATTTGCATTTTGTCATTTACATAAAAAAATAGCACATTCGTCGTTACCATGCACGTATTGAACATATAATAAATAACTTACACGAACCATTCTAAATCAAATATTTTTGGACAATATTTTATACTTTTGTTCTCAGTCTGTTATTTTGATGGCTATTGTATGTAACGAGCTGATTATATAAGGTTAGCTTATGCACAGCTTAATCAGATATGTTTTACAAATCGAAGTTTTTACGACGACAATGTAACATTTTTTTACGGTAATAAACCGATCTGTAATTTTTAATAGGTCAGGATCCAGGAAACTTCTTCCGTATCATCACACGTGCCGATATGCGTCGCCAGTATATAAAAAAACGAAGTAAAGGAATTTTAATCGTGTCGTTTAAGCTGAATTTGTAAAGATGTTAGTTCCAACGGTTGAAAGATAATTATATGACTGAATCCAGACTGACGGTTGAAAAAATCATCTCTCTCTCTTTCTCTTTCCTCTGTTGTTACATGAAAACATACTTGTCGACCAATTCGTAACATCTATCTCGTTTCCATTTCTATATATAAATATCAATAAACCTAATATTTTTTTTTTCTAATAATCCTCAATAACTGTCGTTTACATTTAAATGAAAACCCGACGTCGTACTACTGATTCTCGTATAACTGCATCACATAATGAAGGTATTAATACATCTCCATCAACATCATCTGATCAACAATCAACAGAAACATCACCAACTCAAGATGTTATTCAAAACGTTCCAAAGTCTGATGTTTGGCAATATTTCGAAAGGTGTACTTCAACTGGACCTTTAAAAGCAAGATGTCTACTGTGCCAACATGAATTATCTACACCAAATTATGGAACATCAACTCTTAAACGTCATCTGGTACAAGTACATGGTATAAAACAATTTGATTCAGCTGATGCACCAAGTTTTTCGACCACATCTATCAAAATATCAAAATCAGAAAAAAAAGCATTAGATTTATTAGCTGTAAATGCAATCATTCAAGATGGTAGAGGATATGGTGATTTACAGAAAACTGGCATTAAAAAATTAATTGATGCTTTGAAACCAGGTAAGAGGATTTTCTGATTGTTATTCAGTGAATAAGATAGGAACGAAATAAATTTTGGTAGTTTAAGTTGTGTTTGGAGTATAATAAACTTAGGAACAGTTTGATTCGTTGTTAAAAATATACTGAGTTAATTTACAAACTTCATCATATTGCAATGACGGCACTTTGAATCAAGAACAGCAAAAATTCATAATGAGTATCGAAATTTAATTATGTGTTCGTGAAACCGCTGAAAACCGGCTGTAGATGCATTATATATAAAAGATATTTATAGTAAACTGAGCAAGGCTATTCTCTCATAAAAATATAATTATAGTTTTTTTTTGTAATTTCATCTTCTCTACATGTGTCTACTAATATAGTAGCAATTATCATTGTATTAACTTTTGCTATATGTTATCTTTCTTTATTACGCGATTACAACTACTTTTACTTTGTTTCCTTTTAGTACTATTTGTTCTATTGTTATATCTTACATTTCCACTAAGTAACGACTAAGACATTTTCAAAAAGAAAATATTGCGAATTAGTGTAAAGTGCAAGAAGATGGCAATGATAAGATGACAAAAAAAAATTAATTTTCTATCTTATATTAACAAACGACCTCGTAATAATTTTACCATGTATTGTCACCATAATCCTCTCTATATATTTGTTTCTATGTTAACTCTATTCTTTTGGGAACAATAAAAGAAATGAAAAAAAAATATATAATTTTAACAAAAGGTTTTTAAAACTTCCTCAATTCATGAATTCGAAACTTACTGATTTCGACATTCTTGAATGTGAACTGATTTCTGATAATATTTGAAAGTTCTTGTTGGTAATTTCGAATTGATTGACTTCTAAGAGAGAAAAAGTTGGATCGTGATGGATCCTAACATTCATCAAAAGCTACTAGAGTGTATTGGATCCATTGGAATTTATCAGGAACTGAGGGAAATAAGCAAACATAGGGACAGTTAACCCTTTAAGTTTTAAGTAAGAAAGAAAAGATGCATCTAAGAAATGTAAATTTTGCTAGACATTTATGGATCTCGGTGGATCTTGACGGGCTTAGTAAATTTAAGATTTAAAAGAATTCATACTTTCGATATTAAATTTAAATCCGTGTAAAACTCTAAAATCTATTCTAGTTTCTAGCGAACTTTAGCTAGTTCTAATGAACTATATTGAAACCAAGTGAATTGCAGTAAGATCTGATAGGTTACATGCACTCCAAGGAACTTATCCTATCGACTGCTAGGAGCCGTTTTTTCTTTGTTAACATCATACGAAATATGCCCCTAATACTGCATTAACAGGTCAATCTGGACAGAAAGAAGTTACACAAATAAGTAAAATTTATTCTTTTTCTTTATCAACAGAATGACAATGTTGTTGAACCTAAAGATGACAGTATAAAGAATTCTGTAATTGAAAAAAGTTTCTCTGTATCATGATTCTTCAAAATTTGATCTTTTGTCTTATTTCTGAAAAAAGCTGTTAGTGCAATCCCTTGCGGAATTAAAAATTTGAAATACCATGTAGCTGCTGTTGCCAATCTTCTAAAAACTATTGTTTTCTACGCATATTGAGTACATTTATTCATCATCGCTTTCTTTACACTATAGAACTTGAGCAGGATAATACCCTATATATGGTTCAATAATATATTACTTATGCATTATCTCTGATATGTCCTTGAAGTCTTCTATCACAGTCTATGACGACCGCTAGAGCCTGTCTGTCACAGTCTGTGGTGGATCCCAAGCCCTGCCTGTCACAGTCTGTGGTGGAGACCAAGCCCTGTCTGTCACAGTCTGTGATGGGTCCACAGCCCTACCTGTCACGGTCTGTGATGGATCCCAAGCCCTGTCTGCCACAGTCTGTGACGGGTCCAAAGCCCTGCCTGTCACGGTCTGTGACGGGTCCAAAGCTCTGCCTGTCACGGTCTGTGATGAATCCCAAGTCCTGTCTGTGACGGATCCAAAGCTCTGTCTGTCACGACCTGTGACGGGCCCAAAGCCCTGCCTGTCACGGTCTATGATGGATCCCAAGCCCTGCATGTCACGGTCTGTGATGGATCCCAAGCCCTATCTGCCGCGATCTGTGATGAGTCGCGTGAGTGTCTGTCACGGTCTGTGAAGGGGGGGGGGGGGGTTCAGATTTCTACCTCTAAATATTTCAACACTCATTTCAGATCGTGTTTCACAAAAATGTAGTCTCATCACTTAAAATCTCTATTTTGTAATAGGTTATAAACCACCTCATCGAAATACCGTGGTAAAAGAACTGAAACGTCTTTATCGTCACCATTCTAATCGGACAAAAATTGAATTCGAAGAAGCTAAATATTTATCTATTACTTGTGATTTTTGGAAAGACCGAAAAAAGAACTCATATCTAGTAATTACAGGACATCATATTGACAAAAAGTTCGATCAACATTCGAAAATATTACAATTTATGAAATTTGAAGATCGTCACTATTCAATATTGATTGCAAATGAAATTGAAAATCAATTAATTAACTTGAACTTGTATGATAAACTAGTCACCATCACGTGTGACGGCGCGCCTAACATGCGCGATATGTTTAGTTATTTTACTCGTCGAAATATAAAATATATACATTGTACTGCTCACAAATTACATTTAATCATATGCAACAGTTTGAATCTCTGGGTTGCATCAAAAAAAAAAATACGACAGATGGTGAAGAAGGTATTGAAATTGGTACAATGGAAGATGATGAAGATGAAGCTCAAATTAGTTTAAATCAGATGGTGAGAACGATGTCCTTTGATACTGTTTCATTATCTAACGAAATAACCAATGATGATAGTGAAAGTGATGGAACATCAAAAGTAAGTTATGAATTTCTATCCTCTTCAGTTGTAGTTTTCAAGATCAAATATAAATTTTGTAATAGTAGAAAGCAAATAAAATAGCAGGTCATTTAAAGAGTAAAAATCGATTTAGTCACTATCAGTTGCTGAAGGCCATTTCTTCTATAAATTTTATTGCAGAACATTGATCATCAGATAGTTTAAACAATTATGAGTGATGAGTCTTATTGGGTTGATAAAACAATTTTTTTTGCCGAATGATCCTCGAAATCAAGCATGATGTATGAATCGTTACTTAAATTATATTGAAAAAATTAGACATTTGAATCAGTAAATTTTTTTAATTCAGCTTTGATTTCATAGTATGTTATTAATAATTATTGAGCTCATTTCAAATAGCAACAGATTTTTAATCAATATAGAAGCGTCCCTTGTATTATAATATATATTTAATAGGTAATACTTAAGTTGTAATTGTTCAAATATTTTTTTTATAAAAGAAAAAAAAACAATCGTGAAAAATATGACTATAAATAGATCTTAAGTGCAAGCTATCACCAAATAAAAACACTATCACATATGCATAACAAAAACAACAATCGTTTTGTGATATCGAAAAGAAGACAGTCTATTATTCCTCAACGTTAATCGTAATGATAGATGTCAAGTAAAATAAGTTTTCAGTCCTATTATGGGCTAAGTTCTTCATGACAAAACCTATGTTTTGGAAAAATTAATTGAAGTCGAGCTGTTCTCATCGGAAGACGCAGCAAAGTCCCCTCTTTTAGAATAAATATGACTTCAAAAAGAGACGAAATTTTGATAGACTCAGAGAAGATTTACCACGAACTAGCCGGTTTTCAAAAAGATCTTCGTATTTTTTTTATTCTTAAGAAGACTATTTTTTATTTGCATTATCGTTGAATAAACACTCTTCTACAACTTAAACACAACACACGATGCTAGCTTATGAAATCTGTTGAACTCTTTTAATATTTCGCATATGCCGTTTTTCCTGGATCTGAATAAAAAAATTCATATCTAAACTTATTTGCCCTTTTTCTCAGAACATGATTTCTTTATTGGAGAAATTGAAACTCAACCTATCTGCTTCAAGATATAACCAGGATTTTTTGTTTTAAAGATCAAAATGAAATAAAAATTTTGTTCGTCCAGATTGTTTTTGTGATTGGTTTCTTTTTCAAGACAGCCATGATTTAGTGTTTTGAAGTGGCTGTTTTTTTTCTTATCTTAACACCATGTATATTAAAATACTCATAAAAGATGAATGGGAACAAATTTTAAAATTCTATTCGATGAAAAATTGTATACAGGTGTTGACTTTAATTTGAAATCATTCAGGTTCTGTACTCCTTGTAGTGGACAAATTTTAGGAATTGGCCCGAAGGCCATAAATTGCCTATAGATAAGTTATGAGTTTGGTCTAGTTTGACGCATCGGAGTGAAATTTTGTTTAGAAGCGCTTCTAATTAGGACTACTCATTCCTGAAAATTTCAGTCCGGGTAGATCTTGCTAAATGGAAATGTTTTTGTGAGAGTAGCTTAAGACAATAGTAAGCTATAAATTCGAGTTCTAATGTAACACTTTATCGATAATCAAGTCTTAGGTTATTGATTTTAAACTTGAATTTTCTATGCAGGAAGATGATGATGTCAGTGGTGAATTAGAGTCGAATGATCAATTGATTGATGCAACATCAGATGAAGAATGGATGGATGAGGAAGATGATGATGAAGCAACCGATAATTTTGTTGAAGGAATTAATACCGAAGAAACATTACTTGATTATATACCACAAATGGTAAAAGATACGATTGATAAAACACGTGATATAGTTAATACAATTAAAGGATCATCAATATTAACCAGTTTTATTGAAAAACAAAGATTAAATTTTAATGCACGTGTTAATAAAAAGAACAAAATCAAACGACGTTTGGTAATTGATGTAAAAACACGATGGAACAGTACCTATAAGATGGTGCATACAGTTAATCTCTATCGTGATTTTATTAATGATATGTTCAAATCAAAAGGAAGTCTTGATCTTTCAGCTAAACAACGAAGAAAATTAACACGTGTTGAACTATCAAGTGATGAATGGGATCTTTTAAATTTGATTATTAGTTTATTACATCCATTTTATTCAGCCACAAAAGTTTTAAGCAATACAAAATATCCAACTGTTGGATCTGCATTATATCTTATGAAAAGTCTAGAAGAACATCTTACAAAAGAAGATAATAATGAAATTTTAAATGCTTTAAAACAAATTGTATTGAATAAATTTCAACAGTATATTATTGATGATGTAGAACAATTTAATACGTTAAAAGTAAGTGATATGCATTATTTTAATCTATTACATAAATAATTTTTTTTTTTTCCAGTTATATTCATATTTTGATCCAACTGGTTTTTCGGCTCTTACAAGAGTTGAACAAACAATAATTGAAAAAGATATAACAAAATTATATAAAAATTTATTCTTATCATCAGAAACTTCTTCGTCATCATCAAATCAACAAACGAAAAAAATAACTAATATAGACAAAGCTTGGCAAGGTTTTCTTAGATCTACTAACAAGGATTTACTTCAAGAATCAATAGCAACATCTACCATTCAATCAGATATAAAAAGATATCGAAATTTGGCAACTAAATTGTACGTATGAAAATCTTATTTTAGGTGCAATACTTAGATGATATTACTCGACGCAGATTTGTAAAAATGCACGTAACTGATTATTATAATTAGATATATAATTGGACTGATCATATTTAGCAAAAATTGTTAATACTTGTAACTTGAGCTTGATATTAAACTTCACTACACGTGTCTCTGTCTACAAAATTCTTGGTTTGTACCATCGAAGTTTCGTCATATATTCGGTTATGATTGTGAACAACTTAGTTACAGGAAGGTACCAAAACTATTTCTTATCCATTGCAGAAGACAAATTTCCTTCGGTGATGGAAAGTAAATCACAAGAGTGATAAATATCAGAATACGCCAAGCTCATACACTCAGAATATTGATCTCTTTTTAAGCTATATGTATACAGATGATTTTTAGTGTATCAAATTAGTTACTTTCTACTGAAAAGCTGATTTTCATTGAAGTAGATAAACGCAGTTACTCGAAAGTTCTATAAGAAATTTTCTTAAATTAGACAAAGTATGCTTAATTAAAGTCTATATTAATTCAAATTTAACAATGTGAGATAATTTTACTGGGAATCTTCATCGATAATCAATTTACAAATTCTTTACTTTTTTGGAAACAACATGGTGTTGATTTACCATTATTATCAGATATGGCTCGGTGTTTTTTATCAGCTTCTGCTACAAGCGTCCAAAGCGAATCGGCTTTTTCTGTTTCTGCACATTATGGAAGAAAAGAACGTTCGCGATTATCACCAGACAATCTAGCTATGTCAGTTTTTCTTAAAGATAAGCTTTAAAACTGAAAGAAAAAAATAATACTAAAGTAATTAGTATTAATATAATGTCATTTGAAAATTGTTATTTTTTTTCCTAACGCTACTTCTTTTTGTGTTTATATTCATTGAAATAAAAGAATTCGAACCACACGTTAAAATAAGATGTTTTTATACAAAGCATAGCGTAAGTAATTGAAATTGGAACTTAAAAACGTTTTCAGTTAAACTATTATCTACCTGCTACATTGCAACAAAGTAGTAATTATATATTTCGTCATAAAGATACATCATCTAATAGTATTAAGATTTAAATACAATATGAACTCTTTTAGATAAATCTATGAAGCTGCGAGATATTTATAGGCTACCAAAGTGCGGCACACTGATTTTACTTTTAATGGTATTTCAACATTAAGTCGAGCAAATTCACTAAAAATAAGATTTTCTAGTCCTAATTTTATTTTTATGTGATATACCAATCTCAATCATATAATTCTACACATTAGGATGTACTGCAAGAATACTGCCTACTTCAATACTATATACAAAGTAAATACACATAGAATTCGAACCCAAATTCAATACCCAAACCGAAACCCAAACCCAAACCCAAACCCAAACCCAAACCCAAACCCAAACCCAAACCCAAACTCATATACCCAAACCCAAACTCAAATCCAAACTCATATACCCAAACCCAAACCCAAACCCAAACCCAAACTCAATACCCAAACCCAAACCCAAACCCAAACCCAAACCCAATACCCAAACTCATCAAACCCAAACCGTTTGGGTTTGGTGCATGCCTATTTATGTGAAAAAAGTGAATCCATGGATTTACATGATACAGATCATCGTCGTACAACAATAGTTAAATCAGACTGATTCCATTCAGATTTTGACTTGCGGACTTCTATTAAATAACGAACATTTAAAATAATTTTATTCCTGACATTCTATTTCTTTGAATAAAATGGTTTTTTGATTTAAAAAGAATCAACATTTTTTTTTTACAGAGAATATTTTTTCTCGTCGAAATTCAACTTTTAGTCTAAAATTTATTTTAAAGATTACATAATAATAAAATACATGTTTGTTTTCTCAATATGTCGTAAGACTGAATAACATCTTACTTTTTCAATTAATTGATTGAAGAGTCTTTGATAGACAAATCGTTTTCGTGTTGGGTGTTAGTGTGGATTTAGATAAAAAGAATGCCTACACCCTCAGTTTTACACTTTTCAATTTTCGGATATAGTGCATCTTGAATTTCTACTGTTTTTTTTTCACTAATTCTTCATCTTGTTTCATACACTCTAGTACATTCAAAGTTATTGTCCTTAAAATAATACATGTATATGCCAACCTTTTCCACTCATTTAAAATATAATAATTGATCCACGTTGTATTGATTAATGGACGAGTCAAACTTGTGGGATAAGATGCATTTGTTTGATAAAATTAATTGTTATCATCAAAGGACATAACTGGTAGTGTCGAAAGCAACTCCTAATTGAAGAGAACGAACAGCTGTCTATATCAAGAAGAAAATAGTTAAATGAAAGTTTCATGCAGAATAACATATGATCTGTATATCCTTCTGAATAAGAACAATCCAATGTGGGACAATGAACTTCAAGTCGTTCGATTGAACTCTTTCGTTTCATGGCAATAGCATTCAAAAAATGAAGATTAGCTTTATTGTCATACCAAAGGGAAAGACACATTAATTTAGGAAAACATGTTTTAAAATTGTTGATTGAGTCTAATTTTTGAAAGTTAAAATGTTTCAATGGGATAATACTGATTGGTTTGTGTACGATGTGGTATTCAGACGTAACGAAATAATTTGTTCAGGATTGAATTTTCGAAGAATCATCTTAATAAATGCATCAAAAGATTGACAAATCTCTACTCTTCTTTCATATTGATGTAGTGTAGGAAGAATATTAGTGGAAAATAGATTGATTGTATCATTTGATGTCAGATATTTCAGTAATTCAAAAACGCAATATCCCAACAAAGACGAATCTTGGGAATAATGAGATCAAATGGCTAAAATGAAATGAATAACAAAAAGAAAAAACTTCTTCGTAGTTTATTCAATTTCTGAGAAATGTTCTTGTTTGGAAATTCAATCAGATTGAATAAATAATTCAAATAAAAACTTACTAGAGTTCGTTGATTGTCGTCAAATTCTTCTTTGAATATAACCAATTCATAGAGTGCATTTTCTCGCCTATATTTCTCTAGAGTTTGTATCAAAGTATCATCTGTCAACAACTAGTCGCATACTTCCAATGAGCATAGGATACTGTTTGTTTCATGTCAAAGCTGAGAGAGGGTGTAGGTGGGTGTGTGAGAATATTGATTTCTTCCACACCCACATCCTTCGACAGCACGCATTTGTTTAAGAAGAGACAAATAGAAACTCCTTACAATTTCTCAGGATGAAGGTCCGAGAAAATAAGACATAGAGAGGCAACAAAATATATGAATCAACTGATATTTGGTATATTAGAGGGACAATAAGTTAGAAAAATTTTGAATATTGCTGCTCAAATAATACAATTTCTGAAGCACACTTCACACTCGTTTCTACATTATTATTTCTACTCAAATTTGCATCGAGTAAGTTATTATTGAAAATGTTTGCATTGAAAAAACTTCCAACACGTTAACAGTAAAATCGAATTGAGGCGAACAAATTCATAGATATTCTTCGAGAAAATTGCACTCCGACGTAAGATATATTAAAATGTCCATGTGCGTAGAGTCTCGTTGTGTCAAATGTGAATATTCATTGTCTACCTTGCTGTGATCATGATGATCACAAGTTGGGTGTGGGTGTGGGCGCTCGTGTGGACTGTGAAGTCCCACAAGCATCTATATCCACACTCATCTCCATATAATAGTCTATGATGATCTATCGGTACCTCCATATAATAGCCCTTGCAGATCTATGGGTACCTTCATATAATAGCCCTTCAGGATCTATGGATACCTCTATAGTATAGCCCATGAGGACTTATGGGTACGTCTATAGGATAACCCGTGAGTAGGGTGTGGGGGTGGGTGTAGACGTTACTTAAAAGTTGAATCCATTCAATTGGAACCAGCGGGATCTGACTCCTATCTTGTCGTATCCTGTGATCGGATCCGAACTCCATAGCCGAATTTCAAACAGCCGGATCTGGGCCTCGTAACCAGGCCGGAAACGACAGTATACGGCTCGTATCCTGTCGCCGTCATAAGTCGCTGGAACCGTACTGGAAACAGGCATCGGTATCCGACCATCGCTTCTGGACTCCAGAACTCACGGGAATTAAACAGGAAACGAAGGCCAGAGCCGATTTGGGAATACTGCCACTCTTAAACTGCTGAAAATTCACCTGATCAAGCGGTTTCCCGCCGTACGCCTTGGACCTGGGTGGTACAGCATCAGCATGCGAAAAATAATAAATTGTCGAATCACTTATCTATGAGTGTAGTTCCGTTTGTCATCTATATCCACACTCACACCCAATTCGTCACAGGACCATTCGTAGCACGAACAATTTCTTGCAATTACATGAGCCAATCAAAATTAATATCTATATTTCAACGGTCAGACAACTCATTCGATTAAGTTTGACTCATGTAATTCAATATCCATAAGAATTACGAGAAATGCAACTAATGACTAAACTTTGATTTTTTGATTTCGGCATGTCGAATACAAAGAATCCTAGCAAGAAAAAAAGTCGAATTTGTCTCCTCCATAATTAATATTAATAGGATGTCAAAAGCCTCCGATTACAATGTATCATCAGAATTCTTCTTGATATTGTATGAATCAAAAACTCAATTCGACTAGTTTTATACATATATACAATGGTTTGCAAAAAAAGCTTGGAACAAATGTTTAGCTTGTATCAAGAACTAGTTCAACTTCTTTCGAGAAAAATACTTCTCTGTTAAAAGAATATCAGTTGACAGTTTTAGAACACCTGATTCGGGATTTTATTCCTCTTCCTTTTAATTCTAGAACTGCAAGATTTCTGAGTTTTAGGCTATCAATAAAATAGATTACAACTATTTCAACATTAATAATTGAAACAGTGCAATTAGCGTGAAATTATGCTATTGAAAATAATAAAACTAATTCTTTCATACCAGTAATCGAGCGATTCTTTAAGTATCACTTAATTATTTCATCAAAAGCATGGATCTGGTTTTAGGCATTATTCGGGATGAATAGTTCGTTTCCGATTATTTAATGCTCGGTATTTTAGAAGCCTTTAGGATCTAAGTCTTTCGAATCAGGAACTAATTCTATATAACAGTATCTTCATTGATCGATGGAGTTTTCTAACAAAGCAAATTCTCATGTTCTAATAATATAATGTAGACGTATCATTCGCTTCGAGACTATGTGCCATTGTTATCTCAGATTAGTATCGTACTAAAATAAATTAGAATCAAATTATATATATAGATATTGTTTGTGGCTAATCTGCTTAGTATAGGCCTGCAATAATTGCAAAACAACGACTCGATAAAGTTTAGCAAGTATTACATGTTTATATAGTAAGATTGTTCTACGTTTTTTTGCTAACTATTGTATATATGCATACAATAACAAGTGATGGTCCCTAAAATAATAGAATTTGTACGTCAAACGCGAAGATTTGAAAATAGAAATTTGTTAAAAGTTTTTGATGATTTCAATGCTGCTCGTCTTTATTGAACGCTAAATTTTGTTAGTCTTTCCAAGGTATTTTCTCATTGTCAGAAATCTTGAACTGCAGCATAAGTTTTAAAAAATGTGTATTTCTACTTCCACTACTATAGGAAAACTCTCATCACTTGCATAGCTCGAATAAACTCACTTCTTATCGGCAGAAGAAGGCTCTTATACTGTACCAGATTAAAAAACGAAGTTTAGTTATTAGTTATATTTCTAATAATATCTATGTTCATCGAATTACATTTCTCAAACTTAAATGAATAAGTTGCTTGATTGTTGAAAAATAGATAATTACTAATTTAGATTGATTCATGTCATTGTAACGGACTGTCTTTCAACGAATTGTGTGTGCGACAATTTGTCCTCGCATCGTTTTGTAGAAAGTGAAAAACTGCGTCGATCTATGTTATTAATCTTGACGTCCTCATTAAAACACAACAAAAACTATAGACATTAGGATTATCATCCAAAACACTGAATACCTACAAAAAAAACCTATAGATGTCAAAATAAAGTAATCTTGGAAAAACTTTTTTTCTGTCCAAGAAAAAAGAAAACTGAATTTACCAAGAGGTGTAGAACTTCAAACTCTGCCTTTCTATCATATTGAAAATGATGACTAAGAGGTAACAGATTTAACATGAAATCTTTCGGTATGCTTGAAACAACTCAGATTCCGTTAGATTATCAAATGTACCTCCATAAAATTTTTATACAACCATAGACAGATCATCTATTTTAATATTTTTTCGGAGATCGTTTGCAGAATCTGAAAGATATTGATTCAACATAAGTAAACAAAAAGAAGTCTCTTCAATTGAAAAGTTCATAAGATAAGGATAGGCATGTGAATGTAACCGCGGCTGCAGATGTGTTGCGGCGATGTGCTTGCGGATCCAATGGGTACTGTGCATCTTGCTCCCAGTGCTGCTAAGCTGACTGCCACAGATGCACCGATATCCCACCACGCACCAACGGCCATATCCATACTCACACTCGCAGGCGCCCCATCGCAATAGCAACTTCCGAGTTGCTAAACACAACTGGAATTTACAGCATCGCTCTTACAAACACCGCAACTCCGATTCAACTTCTCCATCTCAAGAAAGAAAACGATGAGGCTCGTCACCAAAACTAACATTTCAAGAATTTTATTTTTGCAGAATAAAAGATAAAACTACTAAAATCTGTTTCTTAAATTTTCAATGTTTCTTTTCACAAATACCAAATGAGGATGAGTAGAAGGCACTGACTTTCTCAAAATCTCAAGTGATCTTTCTAACGATGAAAGTGCTTTTGAGTACTCGCCCATGTGAGAATACACCATACCGATGTTGTTGTAGGAACTAGCCAAATGGGGATGATTCGGAGGGAGAGCTATTTTTCGGATTTCAAGTGATCTTTCGTACGATGAAAGTGCTTTCGAGTACTCGCCCATGTTATCATACACCATAGCGATGTTATTGTAGGATTGAGCAAAGTCAGGATGATTCGAAGGGAGAGCTATTTTGAAGATTTCAAGTGATCTTTCGTACGATGAAAGTGCTTTCGAGTACTCGCCCATCTTATCATACACCATAGCGATGTTGTTGTAGGAAGTAGCCAATAAGGGATGATTCGGAGGGAGAGCTACTTTACGGATTTCAAGTGATCTTTCGTACGATGAAAGTGCTTTTGAGTACTCGCCCATGTTATAATACACTGAAGCGATGTTGTTGTAGGAACTAGCCAAGGAGGGATGATTTGGAGGGAGAGCTATTTTGAAGATTTCAAGTGGTCTTTCTAACGATGAAAGTGCTTTTGAGTACTCGCCCATGTTATAATACGCTGAAGCGATGTTGTTGTAGGAAGTAGCCAAATGGGGATGATTCGGAGGGAGAGCTATTTTGAAGATTTCAAGTGATATTTCGTACGATGAAAGTGCTTTCGAGTATTCGCCCATCTTATCATACACCATAGCGATGTTGTTGTAGGAAGTAGCCAAGTCGGGATGATTCGGAGGGAGAGCTGTTTTCAAGATTTCAAGTGATTTTTCGTACGATGAAAGTGCTTTCGAGTACTCGCCCACCTTATCATACACCATAGCGATGTTGTTGTAGGATTGAGCAAAATCAGGATGATTCGGAGGGAGAGCTATTTTACGGATTTCAAGTGATCTTTCGTACGATGAAAGTGCTTTCGAGTATTCGCCCAGGTTATCATACACCATAGCGATGTTGTTGTAGGAAGTAGCCAATAAGGGATGATTCGGAGGGAGAGCTACTTTGAGGATTTCAAGTGATCTTTCGTACGATGAAAGTGCTTTCGAGTACTCGCCCATGTGAGAATACACCATAGCGATGTTGTTGTGGGAAATAGCCAATAAGGGATGATTCGGAGGGAGAGCTATTTTTTGGATTTCAAGTGATCCTTCTAACGATGAAAGTGCTTTCGAGTACTGGCTCATTTGATAATATACTGAAGCGATGTTGTTGTAGGAAGTAGCCAAATCGGGATGATTTGGAGGAAGAGCTATTTTTAGGATTTCAAGTGATCTTTCGTACAATGGAAGTGCTTTTGGATAGTCGCCTCGTTGGTGTTCGATTGTTCCTTGGCTATTCAGGGCATTCGCTCGCTCTATGTTGGTGGAAGGTGTGGCTAGTAGGTGATCACAAATTTCCTGGGCTGTTTGGTAGTGGTGAAGCGTGAGCATCAAGTGAACCATGCGATTCCAGCCGTTTCCGTCGTTTTCCTGTCGTATAGAGTGTGTGAGAAGAGATAGTTGTGGATCATCGTCGTTAGTGAGAATGAGATGTACTTCGTAGAGGTTGGAATTGTTGAGAATCTGTTTGATTTCGTTGACACGAAAAATCGTGTGCATAGAAAAGAGGATTTCTTCTTCGTCGTGAAACGAACCCATTGTTTGGATGTTGGCGAAGGGAGTTCTTGAAGTTGAAGGTGTGATACTCATTATGAAAAGTATACCGACTAAGTTAGCGTCTGACGTGTTACTTTCGGCGAATGCTAGGGAAACGTCTTGATCTCGGCTGGTGGATAAAAAGTTGTTAAATGAGAGGAGACCACCCTTGGTTGTTTTAAGTTTCTGAAAATCTGCTTTGGATAATCCTTGTCCTCGGTATACGGTAAAAGGTTCATTGTCTGTTTTTGTAGACTGTTCTTTGTGTAATTGTTCGAGTTGGCAGTGAAGATCTCGAATGAAAAAACTCATTTTCTTCATTGTTAGAGTATCCAATGTTCGAAGTGACCGATTAACCGTCTGGTAGATGAAAGAGTCACGAATATACCAGGAAATTGATGTCTCAGGACTGTAATTCTTCTCGAACTCGTTGATAGTATTCAACGTTGTCTTATTGTTGTTTGATTTTTCCCGCCAAAATTGAATAAAATCTGTGATTTCTTCTTGTGTGTGATTGACTTCAAGTGTAATTTCTTTAAATAGCTGTGTGTACATAAATGAGGGTTCTATTTGATCTAGATTAATTTTCAAACTATCTTCGCCGATACTGACAAAGCTCATAGCGATATCGTTTTTGTAACATCGTTTGGTGGCATCTAGTAGTGCTTCACAGAGACGGTTGATATCCGTGTGCATACCTTTAATTTTGCTGGAATTCTTTTTCCAATCGTGAATTAGGGATTCTGTGCTGCAGAATATATGCACACTCAGAAGACTAGAAATATTATCCACGATAGGTATAATGTGTTGATCTTTAGGATTTGATAGAATGAGAAATGCCTTTTGATCATTGATGTCAGTGAGAAAATCTATACCTTCATCGGATGTGGTGAACATATATACTTGATCGGTCACGTGTTGCAGCTGTGTTAGTGTATTTTTACATTTTTCATTGTTTGGATGAATGTTCTCGTCGATCCAGATAATTACATAGCTTTCTGTCATGCATTGTGTTGGTTCCATAACACACGATAATGTCGTTGCAGTTGTTACGACATCCGTTGCGGATGTAGAAAGCATTTCATTCTGCTTTTGCGCATCCATTTTGAATTTATTTGCCACTTTATAACTAACCAACAATGGAGAGAAGTTGTTTGAAATTCAGTCAGAATTTTTTTTTTTCTATTGATCCGATAAGAGTCGTTTTTCTTGACTTTTTTACAACATCAAATGTACGTTTGTTTGTCGACGTTTAGTATCGACTTTCAATAGTCGTAAACGAAAATTATGTTGTAAAGAAAAAAATGATAAGGTTATTCAGTGTCGTAGTGAATTGTATTGCTGCTCTTCGGCGATTTAAAAAGAACCATTTTTCTCCCTGATAAGAACGAAAAAACAATACTGTTGTGTGTGCTTTGATTGTTTTCTTCTTTCTAAAGATACTATAATCATCCACAGGAAAAAATCACAAATAATATCAGTCTTCTTTTAGATCAGAATTGAAAACTTAATTTTCTGTTGACTCAATATGCGATTTGATGCATTCTATTGGTTTTCAGGAAACTCTTTTTTTTGTGGACTTTATTTGGAACGGGGCATAATGACATAATGGGCATAAATTGGATTTCCAGGAAACTCCTTTTAAATCCTCGAAAAGAAGCTGCCACGCGTCTCGAACAGCTCCTCCAAAACTATAAACAAAACTCCACAGCGAAGTAATAGTCATTAAAGTGGTGTAAACTATTTTCCGTGCAGTCAGAGTCCACTTTCTACGATAACATTTGAACTTTCAAAACAATACTTCTACAATTCCTCGAGTAGACCTCCACTTTTCACAGCATACACGTCAACGTAGACGTGATTACATATCTTCGGAGAGTTTCCTCAAAAACTCAATTCAATACCAACGCAGAAGATACAGTAGATAAACAAGATGTAGGATATGAAGGAGATATAGTGATATGGGTGGCGGGATGTTCCCCAATAAGACTTTCGTCAATAAGACATTCATCAATGGCGAAAGCCCTGAGGATATATTGACGAAAGTACAGTGGAGTTTCGCCCATTGGCGAAGTTCCAGGTAATGTATTGGCGGAAGTATAGTGGACTTTCACCAATTGGCGAAGTTCCAGGGAATGTATTGGCGAAACTACAGTAGACTTTCGTCAATTGGCGAAAGTGAGGTGGACTATCTCAGTTGTCACGGAACAATATTAATATAGGATATATGCCAGCGCTGAGGTTAATCCTATTAGACTATATATATACCATAGTTTACACTCATCGATGTAGGTGAGAGAAACTTTTTTTAGTGTAGTCTAATTTACAATGAAATTGCTGAAAGCTCACTGTACTTTCGCCAATTGGCGACAGTGCAGGGGTATATTGGCGAAAGTACGGAGAACTTTCGCCAATTGGCGAAATTCCACAGAATGTATTGGCGAAATTCCATGGGGTGTATTGGCGAAAATACAATGGGCTTTCTCCGATGGCGAAAGTCTTATTGGCGAAATTCTGGAACCCCAGAGATATAGGAGATATAGTAAACAGTTATTTATTTATTTTGATTATTTCTTCGAGCAACTATCGATAAGTTGCATGAATGTATCAGAATAGAACACTATTAAAAGTAAAGCGTTATTTACGGATTATCTACACTGGTTACCCCATATCTTCTATATCACTGTATGCCCTATATTCCTAAATCTCCTATACCTCTACATCTTCTATATCTCCCATACCTTCTCCGTCGATATTTAATTGAGTTTCCGGGAAAACTCTCACAAATCATCATATAGCAGGAATACGAGGTATCAGAGGGTACAGATGGTGCACAGTTCGTATTATTTGATGCTAGGGCTACTATAAAGCAGACACATCTATCCATGATTCCAAAAATAATCTCTCAGTATTAAATATAGGTAAGACTACAAATCCGTTAAAGAAAAATTCCTCCATATATTTTCCAGAAAACCACTTACCCCAGAAAATGTAAGAATTCGTCTCCAAAACAACTGTACATCCAATGAATTGAAAACAAAACAAAAACAAAGCGCCCCATAATCCTTTGCCACATTTATCATGTGATTCCATGCAGAGCTGGGCAAAGTACTCGAAGTACTCGTACTCGAGTACGATTTTGCACGTACTCGTACTCGTACTCGTACTCGAAGGGTTGGTACTCGTACTGGTACTCGTACTCGAGGGTGGAACTCGAGCACATACTCGATGGTTCCATATTAAACAGTTTAAAACGTATATAACTTTTTCTGTTAAAAGTTAATATGCGTTCTATTTGAGAATGGAGCAAATCGCTGAGGACTTCTTCTCGGTTGATCAAGAAATTTCTGAAGGTTTCTTATCTTTGTTTCAACTATTTAGCAAAGTTTCTACAATAGTTCAGAGAGAATTATTTGCTGGTACCGCTCTTGTTGCGCCCACTGTTCCTGATATCCTTTTTTATCTACAGTTTGCATTTAGGTCTTCTATTTTAATGCTCGTGTCTTTATATGAAACTCTTACTGCATCAATTAAAGCCAAGCTTAGTGGACTTCTTCTTTATTCTGAAATTGATGTACTTTTCAATTCTATCTCTACATGGGAATGGTTTCCAAAATGTAACTTTCTTTTTGATTTTGTCACTTTTGCGTCACATTTTAAACTGTATTCCTTCTGAACCGTCATAGTGTTGTAAAAGTACGTCTTCTTGAAAAGATTCTTAGTGATTTGGCTCGTCTTTTTCTAAATTGTAGCTTCCAATGTGCCATGATATTTGAGCCGATGCGTCAAACACTAGTGAACCAAGTGATCCTAATGCTACAGCAAAGAAAAATAGATCGCTTGGTAAAGGATAGTGTCTTTTTCCTCATTTTAACCAATTGAAAAAGTTCACTCGATGAAAAGTGGGAAATTTAGATCGAGCGTGACACCTTTTTCTATGAAGAGCATTTTGAAGATAATTTACTTTTTCTCAAAAAAGTTTACCTATGACGATGTTGACTTGGGTGAAATACTTGATAATACCAGTTACAGCGGCTCCCATAGAACATGCTTTTTACTTAGAACAGCTATTTTATACATCTACGTCGAGTATCATTAATTAGAAAAAAATTGCTTGTTTATCTGCTTTGCTCAAATACAATATGCTTTGATTATGATTTAATTTACTAAAAGCTTCACAATAAACGGAAATTTTATGAAATTTTGACTTTTTTCTCTTGCTATATTCTTTTTAGGCATCAATGTGCGCATGTATGGTATTTTCTAGAGCTATGAATGTCATTTTCTCACCAGACATTGGACATAAGTACTTTCCAGTAGTTTCTTATTGTAGCAGTAGTATTCTTCCGCACTTCGACAGCTATATACCTCTAGGTTTTATTTCACATGTCACATTAGCGGCTACAAAATGGTACACTTGATTTTTCATTCACACGTCTTATTGGCAAAAAGAACAAGAAGTACTTAAAAAATGTTGCCCATTTTTACAATCTGCACAAAAATGCTAAGTCCTTATTGTTTTCTTGATAATAACACATGTGAATCGAAAA